AGATAGTAATTAAATACATTAAAACGCTGTGTTGGATATCTGGATCTATACATTAAACAAGACATTATTTATAAAAAAAATAATCAAACTGTATGCAAAGAATTGGCCTGTCAGCAGGGAAATGAAATTCTTTTTTGCTATCATTATATAATTCATATATTGCCTATTATATGATAAATATTTATATGTGTTTTATATATTATATATATATAGTGGTAAGCGATAAAGCCAATGGAGAAATAAGTCTTACTATTTAAATTTAGAAAAATTTAAGTGGTAAACACAATAAAAAACAATAGATTTAATGGTACAGAAGATAACGTCATTCATCATGCATTATAACTTTTTTTCAATAGTAGTTGACAAAAACATATATAATTATAATAGACTTCCATATATGAGAAAAATGCCTTTCAGAAGAAAATATTATCAGAATAGAACTGTACATTTATTAAACTTTGTTCTTTATCCGGTAACATTTTAACCTATAAATTGTATTTGGACAGATGTTTCTCAAGCAAAAAACAGCTGTGTTTTCCATGTAATTATTACAGTTATCAATAAAAGAAATTTATTGAGTTTTTCTAAGATTCAGAAACTATGAACATAAGCGTCTGAAATATATCTAAAATTTTGTGTAATAAATTTTGACTAAATTTTCTAAGCATGTGTAAGATAGATTTTGGAAGCAAAACAAAAAAAAATTTATTTAAAAATTGCCACGACATCTACCACGTAACATATATATTTATATAAAACTTATTTAAATTAAGAAGAATTTTTTTAAATCAGAAGAAGAAAAATGATTATATTTTCGTTATTATAAAATGTATAAACAAAAAAATTTTCTTCAATTATACGAACAGAAATTATAAACCTGTTTTATATGATTTCAAGGGCAGAATTTGATAATTAACTTCCTATTGAATCATTGCTTCACTTTTCACAAAAATAAATTTTATAGTGGAAAATAAACTTAAGTTTCCAATAAGCAAAACTTTTTTTATACTTTAAATTTATATATCCCATTGATTTATTGTTTTTTAATACAACATCAAACCATTATAAGTTATTTAAAGCCGGAAAGATATTTTTGTATTTTAACAATAATTCTTCTTTTTTTTTTTGTGAGTGAATATAACATTAAAAATTCTTTTAGAATAATAATGATTGTACTATTTAACCCATAGCTGGGGAGAAAAAATTTTTTACCTTTTGACAGGGTATTTGCAAGTAATTGTTGAATGAAAAAACTTAACTATATATCAAATTTAAAAAAAATTTTTCTTATCCCATTTTTACACTGTCCGCAAAGTGAAGTTCATTTGACAAATATCAACTGTAAACATGAAATCAAATCAAATTGCTTAAAAAATAATCATATGTGGTGTTTATTTATTTAAAAAATCAACTATAAACCAGAATTAAAAAAAATGAAACAATTGACGAAAAATTTGTTTGAATATTAATCTTGATTTAAATATAAAATAAATGTCTAATCTCAAGATAATGAAGTGGAAAGATTATATTGAATCAATTAATATTAAATTAAATCATGTGTCGTGTGATTGTAGACAAAGTTTTTTTTTTTCTTTCTATTTTGTAATACATTATAAGTCTACTTATGATTGAATGATTGTTGCTAAATTTATAGGTATTTGTTTGTTAAATATAAAATTTTCTGCAAAATTATAATGTCTTGGATTCTGAAATCTTGTGTTCAGTCATTTTCCAACCTTTTTATGTAGTTTCTCTGTGTCTTTTCTATAAGTATTTTCATGTTAATTGTTCTGATTAGCTTTTTTTGGTATTTTTGAGTCCTCAAATTTAATTTAAGCACAGTAATTAGATCGGCAGGTAGGTCTCATTATTTTACAGTTAAATCCTACTAGATGTAACCGTAAGTTCTATGCTAAAAGTTTTTTTCTCGCACTTCTCAAGTGTGGAAATCTTCTTCAATATTCTTGCTTTCCAGTCAACTTTGATCTTCAAAATTTAAATGCAATGTCAAAATATATCTACTGTTTTCTTTATTCCTTTCTTTTATTGTCAGCCTCCTTTGTTAATAATGTTTTTTTTTTCTTATTCTTTCACACTAGTAACCCCTTGCGTCTTTAAAATTGTGTGAAATTTTAAAAAATAGACAAAAAAAAAAGACTATAATGATATAATTTAGCCGGATTGAAATCAAATCGAGTAAATCAAAAACACATTCTATAAAACAACAATTAATTATGAACCAGGAAATCTATAAATTAAAACCACAGTCGAATTTCTCCCGGCTTTGATCAATCACTTTTGTGAATTGGATTCATTTTCAGTTTTTGTTCAAAGTCTGATTTTAAACTTTTTTTTAAAAATTTTAGTTGAATTCAAAGAGCTACTCGTTTTTATAGACGGTTATTGAGTTGATTAGGTAAAAAGAGCAAGAAGTGAAGTTATTTGGTCTTAAAAAAGATTTAAGCTACTTCCACACTCTAAGAAGATTTAAATAGTGAATAACATTTCAGAGTTCAGGTGGAGACGTTCGACGAATAAAAGAGGAAGTGGACTTTAGAATTGGGTTTGTTTCCCTGAAAAAGGAAACAAGGGATAAAACCTTCTTGATCCTGTTCAAAAGACCGGAGGAGTGCGAACCTATCTACTAAAATTGATAAAAAGAAAAAAAAATTCAATAGTAAATCAAAGTTCAGAGTTTAAAGGAGATGTTAGAAGTATAGAGTTGAAGTAGACTTTAGAAGGAACTGGAAAATCTAATCCTAAAGAGGAAACAAGGGATAAAACCTTCTACTCCTGTTCAAAAAAAACCGGAGAAGGGGTGTGAACTTATCTACTTGTATTGATAAAAAGAAAAGTAATTCAATAGTAAATAAAAGTTCAGTGTTTTAAGAGGAGATGTTAGAAGTATAGAGTTGAAGTAGACTTTAGAAGGAACTGGAAACCCAAAAGAAAACAGGGAACAGCCTCTACTTCTTTTCAAAAGACCGGGAGACGTGTGGATCAGATGATAAGCAAACCTATATATTCCTATTGCGGGTGGAAAAATAATAATTACAGAATAAAAATTCAGATTTCACGCCAGAAGTACAGAGTTGAAGGAACGGAAACCCAATCTTAAACAGGAAACAAGGGATAAAACTCTACTCCTCTTCAAAAGACCAAGGTGAGGAGTGTGGAGCGGGCGATAAGTAAACACTAAGTAGGCACCCGGTCCCTGGGATTCCAACCCTGCAGCAGCACCTCCCTCATTGCATTAAAAGAAGTTGAGTTGGTGTAATAGGGATGTCAACGTGACAGTGGTTTCTGGGATTGGGCAATTTCGATCCTTGGCTGCAATCAAAGCCCAGTATCTGCTCTCTTCATCTGAGATGAAAGAAAGCAGCCGGGTCTGGAGATTTCAACACCTTCCTCATTGCACTAAGAGAGGGTCGGTGAAATATTGATGCCAGCATGACAAAATATATTTTATCTCACACTTGTGTTTCTGTCTTAGAAAAGAACACAACAAATAAACTAAAAATGCCTGGTCCCGAAGATTCCAACGCTGCGACAGCACCTCCCTCACAGCACCGAAGGAGGAGAATCGGTGGAAAATCGTCGTCAGTGCGACATTGGTTGTAGGGACTGGGGAAATTTTGGCCTTGGCTCATGTGCTCACGGTTGGGCTCCTCACATTAAACTGGCCTTGTGCCATATTCCACCAACATGCTGGCTGGTGGGGGCAGTAAATAACAAGTGCAGTACCTGTTCTTCACCTCTGTCGTGTTTCTGTCTTCGAATAGTTTACGGAAAACCTTTGAGAGATGTCTAGTCTCAGGGGTTCCAACCCTATGTAAGCACCTCCCTCCAAGCACTAAAAAAGGGGTTTTGGTGGATTGCAATACCAGCGTGACATTGGAATATTTTTTTCTGGGACCATATCTATGCGTACGGACACTCTACATCAAAATCATCCCCGTATCCCATCTCGTCACTGTGCGGGTGAGTAAATACCGGGTTTATCAAGACCTAGTTAACAAGTAATTGGAAGCAGCAAAACAATTGAATAATCTTGGATTAGATGCTATAAGACTATCTAATCGACCACTTAAATAGTGATATAACCGATGCAGTCAACTATCTATTACAAAATGTTTAAGAACAAAACTTAAAATATTAGAATAGAGGCTATATAATGGTGAATTTAAAGTCCCATGTAACATTAATAAACTATAAACGTGGAATTAGTAGCTGCTACATAATTGGTAACTAGGTCCTGCAATCAGGTTATTCACAAGATCTATCAACTAGTATCAGAAACTGCAAAATAACGACTGAATTATAAGATATGTGAAAGAAACTGTTGAAAGATTGATTTATTTGTTTTTACAGCTTATCAACACTTTGCAGGTTATTTAAAGGCAGAAAATATTTTTTTATTTTAAGAATTTTTGGAAAGTAATAATGACAAACTGATACAAGTCCCTGTCTATATTTCTGAGATGAGGTATTATGTACATTATTTACATTATTCGGACTATTGTCCTCGTCTTTGTCGCCATATTTATTACAACGTTTCGGCTGTTGTACGCTCCGGCCTTCTTCAGGTGGTTGGAATGTCGAACTGAACCCGGTTAAGACAGTGGAGAACTTTCAGAGGGAAATTAACAGGAGATAACTGATAACTGACATCCATTAAACATGGCACGTGGAACTAGAACTGTCTATCCCAGTGAGCAAAATAAAGGGTTCAGTTGCACATTTCAATCACCTGAAGGCCGGAGCGTACAATGGCCGAAACGTTGTAATGAATATGGCGACAAAGATGAGGACAATAGTCCGAATAATGTAAATAATGATACAAGTCTTACTAATTAACTGGGGAGAAAAGTGGTGGATTTACAACTTTCCCAAAAGTATTTACGCGTAAGTGAATATAACGAGTCCGGCAGGGACTGGAACTCGGCTCTCCGATTTCCAATTCTGAGCCATTATCATTTACACCACCCGCACATCCGAAATTACGACTCCCTAATATTTCCAAGTGGTCACCCATCTAGATACTGACTAGGCTCGATACTGCTTATCTTCAGTGATCGCACGAGAACAGTTGTTTGTTGAAAGAAGAGTAAGGAATGATGTAATTATAAACTAGTAAACGATAATGATCGTGAGTAATGATCAATAATAAACTAGGAAGTAGGACCGCGAAACAATTATTATTGTTTTAACAGTTGAAATTCTATTTCGTGAGACAAGGATCAGTTGAATACATCGACGAAGGATTCTGGATAGAAATTATAGCTCTTGTAGTTGTATAGCAGATGTTTCGCAGATATGCAAATTTCTATAGCATGTTCTATTCATTATAATAATAAAATATAGTTACATAGAATATGACTGCACTATACAAATATTATATGGTCTACCAAAAACACTATACACGAATTATATGGGGTACTAAAAACACTATACACACATTATATAATGGCTAATGATTTTTTACCAGAAATTCTATACACACATTATATAGTCGACCAAAAACACTATCCATGCATTATACAGTGTATAGTGACTTTTTACGAAATATACTATCCACACCTTATATGGTCTACCAAAACACTATACACAGATTATATAGTGTATAGTATTTTTTTTCCAAAAAAGCTATACACATTTTAAGTTTGATCCAAAAACACTATCTACACATTATATGTACCAAAAACACAATACACACATCATACAGTGAATAGTGATTTTTTTACCAAAATACTATACACACATTATATGGTAGACCAAAAACATAAAATTAATATTCCATTGCAACCAATAGTCTATGAAATTGGTAGCACTACTCACCAAATTACTAGAGATATCATAAAAATTCTAACCCCTCTACTATTGTAGTAGTAGGCAAAATTTAATAAATAAAATAAAATAAAAATATTTCTTAAATTCCTTGATAAGTATCACCTTAACAACGCCTTAACACCTCATTAATATTAACACCGACATTTTTAAGGACAGGTCAACCAGCTAACTTCTTTTCTGAAGCCAGATATTTGTATAAGCGAAACAAAAGATCAAAGACCCAGTACAAAAATAAAGGACAATCCTACCTGCACTCATCGCACTCACCGACCACTCACCGACCTCAATATAAACCCAGGAAAATGAGATTATGAAATGAGAAAATGAAAATTACTCTTTCGCCAGAATGTGGGACAGATTGGTCCACTCCTCTAACTGCCAAAAATTAATCAGGACAACAGCCTACTATAAAAGATTGAGGAGTCTCACTTTCTCTGTCGCTCTCGTCATGTCTCTGTTCCAACATACTGCAAACTACGAACTCTGTTATACAAGGAAGATACAAGTTTGTAAAATAAACATTCCAAATAAAGAAAATAAACATTCAAAACCAACATTCGCTAAACGTTCATTCATTTTCACTGCAAAAACCAATATTCTGCAACAACTTCAATAGTACTATCAATTCAGCGTTGTGCATCTAGACGTTGTGTAATTGTTAGAGAGCTTGTCTTGCTAGATCAGTCACGACTGAGTAGTGAGTTCGATTCTCACTGGGTGACCTATACTTTCGGCCTTGTGCCACATCTAAGTTGCGCTTAGAAAATCACTATCAGTTCAGCGTATCTATAGAAATTACTAACGACTTACTAAATAAAATAAAAAAATATAAAAATTTTATGGCCTATTTAGATATTCATTATCTATTCCCATTAATAAATGTCTTACATAATTCGAAAAAAATCTAAAAAACAAAATGGAATTTCATTCTACTCGTTGATGTTATTTTCTGGTAGTGATGATATTTGAAATTTAACAGTAAACATAACTAAGTTTCAATTTTTGAAGAATACAATGTCTGTGCAATACATTAGCGATTGCTCCACGAAAGAAGAAAAACTTAGCAGACATATATATGCGTGTGTGTGTGTATATGTGTGTGTATGTGTGTGTGGGTGTGCGGGCGCTCATATGCATGCAGTTTTATTTAAGTGTCGTGTACGTGTGCACAGAAACAGCTGAAAGATTTCAAGATGTAGGGTAAAGGAAGGCGGAGATGAAACCGGTTTAACAAGAACTTGTTACGCAATTGTTAATGATGGCACCATTTCTCTTAACATTTAATTTTAGCGTGGGAACCATTGATGCATATGCTAAACACATGTACACACATATACATTCAGAAACACGCGCATACAATCTTGAAACACGTACACACAGGTGTACAAAAGCAAAGATTCACACACGGACTGGCACAAAAATGAAATCTAACAACATATCACTTAACAGTTCTATTCAAGTTTTCTTTTATATTTTATAAATCAAGATGAATTATTCACACCATATATTGCCATATTCATGTCTTAGTCTTCTCTCTCTCTCTCTCTCTGTGTGTCTCTCACACACACAAAATGTAAGTCAAGTTAGCCTTAGGAGTCAACAGTTTATTTTTTTTTTATCTCTGTGTGAGTGTACACGTGCTTGTGTGTGTCTGGATATATGTGCACACACCAGACAAGTTCAGAATCGATGCGTTGTCACAAACAATACCTAAAAATTGATTGATGACGTTAACTTCTATTTACAGATGACTCAGGGATGTAGATATCACGACATTTTTGATCTTTCAATGCAGAGAACATTATTCCAGATAGGGTCGCCTATTGTCCAGTTCACACTTCTCCCGGCATTTAGAAGAGAAGTGGAGATTTATCTCTTGTTTCCTGTTTAGGATTGGGTTTCCGGTTCCGTCTAACCTTTTCATTCACTTCCACTCCCAGCAGCTCTTTGCGTCTTAGTCGTATTATCGCTTTGACTGGGGTGAAGTGAGTAAACGAAATATAAGGAATAAGTGGAAAATTACTGGTTAATCAACTAATTAAATAAACCAAATAAGACAAAAGAGACGCCTTAAATTGGTATGCACCCACACACACATACACAAGAAAGAAAGAAAGAAAGAAAGAAAGAAAGAAAAGGGTAAAAGAACAAATTACATGAAGATAAAAAAGAGCAGGAAAAGAAAACAGGATGTAAATAAATAAGTAAAGAAAGAAAGAAAGAAAGAAAGAAAGAAAGAAAAGGCAAAAAACAAAAAAAATCATATGAAGGTAAGAAAGTGTAGAAGAAAACATAATGCAAAGTGAAAGAAAGAAAGAAAGAAAGAAAGAAAGAAAGAAAGAAGGAAAAGGATAAAAGAAGGAAATTATATGAAGATAAGAGAGGAAAAAGAAAACGGGATATAAATTTAAAGAAAGAAAGAAAAGGTAAAAGAAAGAAAATATCTATACATATTATAAAAGGCAGAATGTGTGTGTGTCTGTTCATTTATATGTTTGATCGGATCTCTTACATTTTTCAACCGATTTCAACCAAATTTGACACAGTTACTGCTAATGGTCATGCGGAGGTTTTGACGGCGCCAAAAAAGTCAATATTTAAATCAATATTATCGATTTTTCATTTTTGATCGGACGCACGCGTGTGTAATTATGTGTTCACTGAACACAAGCAGATATGGTCACTTTTCATGTCAAAATTAATAGCAGTAACATAATTAGAAAAAATCGGATTTAAGTGCTTATATGGGAATAAGAAAGGACAAGAATGGACATATTTTGGTTTTGGATGCAAAAGTTATCAAAATGAAGGATTTCTGTCGCAGCCGAACTTTGCGCTCCAAAAGCCAATCTGATTAGTGTTATTAGTCACGCGTAGCATGAGCGATGCGTAATGCTTGCTCATGATTGGCCCATTCACGCTCCGCGGTCATGCGAGATCATGTGTGAACGGGGGGGGGGTCACGCGTTCGCCTGTCAAGAATTCCAAATGGGGTAACGGTTTCAGGTAGCCTACTTTTATTTCAGGATTTAACCCTCATACCATGGTTTTTTAAAAAAAATAAAGTCGCCAGATACTATTTTGAAACGTCATCCGCCACTGGGCACTGCTTTGACTAACCCAGCTGGAGGTTAACCAATCGCGAATTTACTTCCCAAATTACCTACTAACGTTTTAGCTTTAGTTGAATTTTTTAAACTTCACATTTTTTGTGTTAGCATTATCAACAACATCACTTGAAGACTTTCAGCAGCTAAAATGCATATCAGATGTAACCCGAAGAGAAAACGATGATATAATCAAGTTATTGACGTTCCACACTGCTTCGAACAAAAGGTTAGGAAGGAAACTTCCATCAATAAAGGAAAGAACGATAACAGTGCTTGACTTCAGAAACACGATTTCCCTGTAAAATTGATTTAAAAGAAACATTTTATTAATTTCAACAGACAGTAGTACAGGTCAATCGATCAACGAATGAATTATTATTGGCATTACCATTATATGTGGGCACATTTTCTGTTTGTGTATTATATGTGTATTATATGTGCATAATGCGCATCGTCTCAGATGTGCACTTACATACTAACATAATACAGCATTCATTAATGCGTCATAGTTTAGAAAAAAGGAAAGCAAAAACATCATATTACATATTATTCAACAAAATCTTATTGCATGTATTTTGGTAAGAGTCGCAGAGACACATAACGAAGACAGTGAGTTTTTTTTTAAAGATCTGATAAAAATCACATTTCTTTTCATCTTAACAAACAAGGACTGTAAGAACACTCATACACATCATAAAAAAATTAGTTCTAAAAACACGAAAATCAAAATATTTTATATTTAAACGAAACAACTTTCTCGCCTTTTTCTTTGTTGTGGGTTGATTCAAATCTGGAACAAATGTATGAAAAGACTGGAGTCGGAAGAGATTCATATTCCATCATTTGGTAGTTTGGATTTTAATTATAATTTATTTTTAATAGAAATCTGAAAGTAAAGATAATCCCAGTTGTTACTTATTAAAAGTTCCAGTCTATTGCAAAAGTGCTACCTTCTTCCGGGGTCAGATTAAGTTTGTGTGAGGCCTATAGCATATGTTATGAAGGGACTGTAATGACAAAAGTACGCAGGTGTAGGCTTTAAGAAAGCTTTGCTGAACTGAGAATACAAAGTCCACATATAGTGTCCTTTTTTAGTCCCAGCAAACAGTAGAGAGGAGTAATTAAACAAGGGGAA